TTAAATTAAAGTTGACTTAAAATAATCACCATCTGAAGACAGCTATAGGGTATAAAAGTTTAAACATCCGTGGCATAACTTGAGTTTAAAACGTGCAGCTTGATTTAAAGTGAACAGATACCATCAGATTGCTGAGTTCTTTGTGTAAATTAAAAATAAACATATATTTTATGGAATGTCAATATTTTTTAAAGCTGTTTGGTTAAAACGGCACATTTTATTTAAATAAAATATATTCTTGTATATATGTGAATTACATCTTTTGGAGTTATTTGAGGTGGCTGACCCCATCCTGACATCACTTAAGAACACATTTATTTTGACATTGCGCGTTTCCATGACTACTTCTCACAAAGCACCTGAAGATGCTTTTGGAAACAATATGACATCATTTTACGTGACAAAAAACTAAATTTATGGCAGCACCTTGGTGCTTGAAAGATTTTGTGATTGCCTGCTTATCCAAGTGAGACTTTGTTTATTGTACAAACACTGAATAAATAATGATTACAATAATAACTTTTAATTTGAACTAGGAACTGTCATTTCTAATCAAACAAACCCCAAATGTCAATCCCGCTTATGGGAAGCAAGTTGACCTGGCAGCCATCCCACTCGATGATTATTTCCAGTGGTTGACAGCGAGAGGAAATGCACTACACTGAGCTGTTGAGAGACTCGGGAAAACTGTTTACCTTTCTCAGTTTTTTTTTTTTTCTCTGCTGTCCCGTCGCCATCCTCTTTGCTCTTCCTCCCTCCTCCTCTGCTGCTGTCACGCTCTCCCTCTCACCCGCTCATAATCTGATGCCGCTGTCATCGTGCTGACAGATGTGTGTGTTTGTTTGACCAAACTGCTGAAGCGACGCTCCTGCTCGTCTTTTAACAGGGACTTGTTACTAATGACTAATGCACGCCACAGATAGGACAAATCTGTCACTTACTGTAAACTAACCTCGCACTGATGGAAAGCAACGCTCGCCTTTCATGGTGTGGGCCACCTGCGTTTCCTTTGCTGTTCGCCTCAGCCAAATGTAATTACGTGGCATGTCACTGGCACATTATATAAGTAGATCTTTTTTTTTTGTTGACTCGCTGACAAAACAAAGCCATGCTACAAGAATCTGTTGTGAGTACCAGTAACCGTATGGCTCCAAAGGCACCGGCTAAGAGAAATGTCTCCGTCAGAAGTGTTTCCGTCTCCTACAGGACTTTTTTTATTATTATAATAGCCTTGCAGCTGAGTAATCTGTGATTTTTCTCTGCTTATACACATTTTGTTCATTCAAACAACCTCTCTCTGCCTAAACAATCGCTTCTTCCTCCATGGGGTGCCTTGCCATGCTCATGCTGTCACCGCATACGATGGGGAGAAACTCCACAACAGAAAACGGTTCTGATTAATTGGGAAAAAAGGGAACCTCCTCTCTTTCCAGTAAACTACGCAGGGCTGCTTCTGCCACATATCAATTCTCTTTGGAGGGTCCTGCTTATTGTATGATTCATAACAACTTATTAAACAATTGCTTTGTTTACATGACTGTGTGAAAACGTGAATCACACTCAGTCTGTTGTTCCTGTTGCTGTGAGGGTTTTGGAATTCCTTCGTCATTATTTGGACACAAAATCATCTCCTTCCAGCGGTCCAACTCTTTCAAGACGTATCTCATTGTGTTGTGTATTAAAGAGTGATGCCTATGCACCAAATAAAAATAGGTTTACTTGTGGCTACGGGAAGGAGATGTTGCACTCTGCAAAACGTTTTCCTCCACATTGCTATAGTGTGTAAATCTGTTGCTTTTGGAAAACCGATGTGAACCCTGACAACAGCGGATACAATCTCAGATGAACCGTCATACGCATCGGTCTGAGCATTAGCAGGAGAGACCATAAGCACTCATCATCTGTTTCACCTTCTAAACATTTTAAATGTTTAGAAGACTACTCTTTATGTTAGATAGTTGCGTCAGCTGACAAAAGCTTGGAGGGTTTTGTTTGTACATGTTGCTCTTAAGGTCTGACCACAAAATTTGAATCAGATGCAAATCTTAACTCTTTTTGGCCAATGCGACACATGGTTTTATTTTGTTTGCTCTGCTCTGGATGTTTATGCTGCTAAGTGACCCGTTTTCAACAGCCAGACTGATTACTTGACTACGCAGAGCGTAGTGGATCAAGTGAAGAAATAGTTGACGTCCGGTCACCGTTCGTGGAAAACAAATGTTTCCACAAACGCATAATTGCACAGGAACTCACCTGAATGTTTTCCTGCACTAAAAAAACAACAAAAAAACAAAAAACATTTCATGCATGCAGAGATTAGCCCTTACAACAAATTAATTAGACACTTTAAATTAAAAACAAGAATAGTCTCTTCTTAAACCAGCATTCTTAGAGATTTTGAGGCAAATGCTAAGGTAATCCTATAACTCAGAAGTGTTCTCTAAAACTCTCTGACCCCTGTGCTCCTGGGAACAAGTGTTTACTCTGCCTCCACCAATATTAAACAAAAGCCACATATTTTCAACATTAAGATCCTACAGGCTCACCTCGGGCCCGGCTGCCCGTCAACCTGGATCAGTCAGCTTGTCCCATGTTTGGACCACCTCCGGATGTGTATATGCGAAGCCAAGTGTGTTTGATTGTGTTTATTGAAGTCAAAAGATATCCCTGTTCTATCAGTTTGTCAAAACAATAGCTATCTGCATGGCCAAAGATTACGTGCTTGTTTTGGAGATGCAATGCGAACTGACCTTCCACCAGAGTTTCCGTATACATTCAAGCTGCTTAAGGCAGTGAAAGAGTGGGAAAGAATTTGGATGTAGAATCCTCACATTTTATAGTTGTTCTTAAGTAAAACACAACAGAACATCACCAAGGGAGAGCAACAAGAAGTAAAAGACTGAAACCACCGTAAAAAGTTTTCACCACTAATTATTATTACATTGGATTAAGAAGCTCATTTCCCTTCATCATGTAAGTAGGGCAAGAAATGAACTAAAAGTCAAGCATAGTTCATATTTGTCCTGTTGTTTTACAAAGTTCGCTATTCATAGGCAGCTATATACAGTAAATAGTACAATTTTCCAAGTTGCAGTCAAAAGCTTCAAATGGATTTTATTGGGGTTTCACGTAAAAGACCAATGCACAACAACAGACAATTATGAAGAGGAAGGAAAACCATACATGGTTTTGACATTAGTTAGTGTTTACAAATTAACTTAAAAAGCCGGTTCTTTGGACGCCCAAATGTCTCCTCAGATTTTATTGCATAAAAAGTATGTTTGAAATAAATTACCAATGAAAAAATAATAATTATATCAAATGTTTATTTATATGGGACAGCCAAAAAGAAGCATCAGCTTCTATAAAATGAGAAGAGCAGAGTGCTACAAAACAAATAAAAAAATGCAACTAAAAGTAAAGACATCTGAAGTATATGAAAGGGTTAAATCACACATTGCGTTTACTGTTCACAATCTTCAATGTTAAATTTTTATTTTGCACAGGCTACAGTCGGCCTTTTAGCTGTCTATCACATTAAAATCTGTCCCGACTTTGTGCAGATTTATTTTGAGTGTTTTCTCCCAGATTTGTCTAAAGGTTGAGTTATAGTGGGGCTTTTGAAAGGGCACCCATCATTATGTTTTAAACTTTTGCAGTCGTGCATGCTAATCACTTTTCAACACCTTTAAGGAGTAAGCACTGTCCTGAACGGTTCAAACTCGGTCCACATGCTAAGAGATACAGTGATGCCACACTGGCAGGATGTGGGGAATAGTGTGTGTGTGAGAGGGTTGGGGCAAAGGTCAAACTTCCTGGGTAAGTCTTGGAACCCATAGGCAACTGCTTGCAGTTCTACATGCATTTGTGGTTGTAATGTGACAATATCTGGTCCAAGTTGCATTGATACTTTTGGAAGCTGTGTCTTAACTGCCTTGCACATTGCCAAATGTGGAAATTGTAGTTTGAAGAAAAAATATAATTATAGCCTTTTACAATATTAGCTTGTGGGAAAATACCTGAGCATGGAATTAAAATGCCAAATTTCTCCTCCATAGTCCAGTTAAGATTTCCAAAGGGAACTGAGCCAATTATATTTTTGATAAGCCTCAGCTGCCTGTCTTTGTAAGCTGGTGGACACAAAGCAGGCAGTACTGACACATAATGGATCTTGCTAAGTTGTAGACGAAAAAATTTCAGAGGACCTCTGTGCCTCAGAAGGTAAAATTAAAAACAGAAGCCACTGTGTTTTGTTAAGAAATATACCATCGACCACTAACTGCTTTCTGAGCTTTGCTATGTCCAACCAGAAGGCTGCAAACTTCACAAGGCAATAACATTAAACTTGAAGAGGTAAATATTTGCAGCACCCATAAACTTTGTGGTATTTCAACACTGAGACTATAACAGTGAGATGGATGCAGCAAAGCATTGTTGATGAGTAGTAACTGGTCAGGTTTAACTCACCTTAGTGGCCTCTTGAATATTTGCACTATTGAAAGACATATTCTTATACATTAAGGCATCTAAATATGCAAATTATTCTTACAAACACACTCATATGCATTCATGCACATGGATGGGATGTATTTTGAAGTTGGTATGGCAACATTTCTATGCACGTATTCACATCCTTTGAGTGGTGCATGTTTGACGGCTGTATATAGCTTTTAACGATGTGTGAGATGCCCCCAAATACCAATGAGTCACAAGTCTTAACTTTGAAAGTTTTAAATGGTGAGTGTATGCATTTAGACTGTGAAAGCTATACCTTTAATTTAACTTTTTATACAATCTACATTGTATCAGGCTAATAGATGACAGCTTGATATTTTGAGACATTAAAAACCAATAACTTTGTTATTTATCCAATGGTAAATTTGGCTTCCAAAGGAAAAAATAAATAAATACAATATCAACCTAAAAGACTACTGATAGCTACTTGTTTTAGTAAAATTATATTTCTTCTAGCCTTTATTTTGTGTGTGTGTGTATCACAGAGATACGGTTCAAAGGGTCCAGGTGGCAGGCATGAGGGCCCCAGTCTTCGTTGGAGTTTGGCTCTAGAGTCCACAGGAGCTTCTTCAATTGGACACATTTCACAGGTACATATAGACCTTTGCAAAGCAACAACAAAAAAAAGATGCGCAAGAAAGGCAAGACCGGAACTGTTGTGGTCAGTCCTTTTCTGAGTTATGTGTTTATATAAATATTCTAGATAAGTGCCTTGCAAAAGCATTCACACCCCTGGATCTTTTTTTATATATACAGTATATTTTTCATGTTACAACCACAAACTTTATTTTATTTCTCATGATAGATGAACACGAAGAGCTGCACCACTAGGAAGAGGGAAAATCGTGTTTTTCCAATTTGTTTTTACAAGACAAAGTCTGAAAAGTGTGGAACTTTTAGAAGGATTCATCTCCTCTAAATGGCTTCTGACAAACTCCAAACAGGACTGCTCTTTCAGAGTTATTTCACATGAAGATCTTATATGTGGAGCGCAAAACTAATAGTTCTCCTGTCTACAGATTCTTCCATAAGCCGTCGCTCTCTGGACGTCCTCCAGAATTACATTGGGCCTCTTGGCTCCTTGCCTGACCTGCCAGTTTAAGTGGATGCTAATGTCTTTGTAGGTGTGAATCTGTCAAAATCTTCTCAATTTAAATAATTTTATCTCTGACATGTATAGTGTGTTCCTTGGTGTTTAAAGTTATTTAACAATCCTATGGGTGTCAGGGTACTTGCTTGTTTGGGATTTGGCTTTTGTATTTTTGAAATATTTTCTGGTGTTTTATTGATGTTTTAGAAGTTGGGCCAGGTTTCCATGATTCGAGTACACAAACTGAAGCAAAGCATTACATCACAACATGAGCGGAACAGGTGCTGGAATGGTCCTGTCATAGTGTGAATGGCTCACGTCCTGAGTCAAGCTGGAAATTGTGTATCGTGCTGGAGGGGGAGTCGTTTCCCTTTGTACAAACCGTGTGATCCAAAACTGATCTTGTGAGTGGGTCATTTTAATTCACTGATTCTAGATTTAAAACACTAAAATGAATGGCCCTCCCCATGATTATTGTTTGATATTTAGTTTATTCTTGTGTTCTCCTCTTTGTGCGTTTGGATTTAGTTATTTTAGACCTGTCTTAATTTTTCCCCCTTTGTTTTTTAGTTCGTTTGAGTTTTAGTCACTACCATCTACCGAGACCGTCTGGGATGACTCCTACCACCGTCACCCCAGACGGTTTCAGTAATTGTGTCTATCGGCAAGACGCTACACCCGCCCGGCCTGCTGGCGGTCAGAGGGTGCCATTTACCGTTTAGTTCAACTCCCTTTGTGTTCGTCTTCCTCTCTTCCTCAGTTTCCATTTTTCTCCCTGCCACAGCTGTACCACATTTTCTCTGATTAGCTTCTTTGTTATTTCCTCAACATTCAAGCTACTGGTTTTTGTTTGTTTCTTGCTGGATTCTTTCCTTAGACAGTCCGTCACACTCATGCCAGTTCCATGTGCTTTCCCCTTAGTGACTACTCTATAAGTCTGTATTTTTATCATTCAAGAAACTCTCCAAACTTTTGCCTCTGGTTCTGCCTGCATTTTGGTCCAACTAGAACCCAAATACAACGATGCCTTCACGGAACACCTGTTTTAATACTGACGATAAAGTTAGTTATATTTATTAAATGAGTAACTTGTGAAGGATATTCTTTGAACTTGACTTTTTTTAGGGTTATCAAAGTCTATCAAAAAATTATCAATGAAATACATTACAGTGGTAATAGTGCTAATTAAGATGATGTTTCTGTTTTTGACCCAGGACGTGTGCCCATGAGGTCATCACTACTGGTTCTGCTCCTCCTGATCGGCGTCCAGGCTGTACTGAACATGGGAGGTGGTTTGGCCCGGAACCCTGGAGCAGCCAATCACAGAGCAGGGCAGCAGGAGACAGCAGCAGCCAGGGGACAGCTTTCTCAGGACCAAACTTCATATCAGCAACACAGGACCACCCATCTTAGAACCAAGAGGACACACAGTGCAACCTCAAACATGCACAACAGAAGCCCTGTCATTGGGGACTCTCCAGCAGGTTCCTCTCCAGACCCCTCCAGCCCGGTGGTGGACCCGAAGCTCTTCTCTAAGAGACATTACCGCCCCTCGCCTCGTGTCGTCTTTAGCGAGGTAATCCCTTCGCATGACGTTCTGGATGGTGAGGGTTATGACTTTGAAAGGGTGAGGGGGCTGAGGGTGAGGCGCAAAGCAGGATCACACACCATGCATCGAGGAGAGTACTCCGTGTGTGACAGTATAAATACCTGGGTGAACAAGACGCGAGCCACAGACATGTCTGGAAATGAAGTGACAGTACTCTCCCACGTTACAGTCAACAACAAGGTAAAGAAACAGCTTTTTTATGAGACCACCTGTAGATCCCCGACGCACAGGAGTTCTGGAACCGTAATCGGAGGACGATCTGGAGTACGAGGTGGAAAGCAAGGCTCCAAGTCAGGCAACTCGGGCTGTCGAGGCATTGACAGCCGCTACTGGAACTCCCACTGCACCAACACAGACATATATGTAAGCGCCCTGACCGTCTTCAAGGAACAGACAGCGTGGCGTTTCATCCGCATCAACGCTGCGTGCGTGTGTGTTCTCAGCCGGAATTCTTGGTCAAGAAAACCGGGACACTGACTGAGGTGGACCGCTCTTGACCACTGGACTATGAAAGCAAACACACATTTCTACGAAACAGCCACTGCAGCTTCTATGCCAATGCTCCTATCATACACCCACTGATGACAGCAGTCAATAAACATGCACACACACACAAACACACGCACACACACAAACACATTTCTTCATTCAGTCCCTTGTTCCCTGACCCTACCTCAGTCAAAGAAGTCCTAGTAGTTTTAAGTTATGAGGACTGCATGTTATATTTATGGTTTATACAGACAAATATAAAAGTATATACAGTATGTGTACATATACAAAATTATTTCAACTTTTTAAATGTTAATGTTGTTATTGTTGTCGTGTTGTCCATGCTGTTATTTATTAAACACCTCAGTGCTTGCCTGCCTGGTTGTGCTGTTTTTATCCCACTCAGACACCCTTAAAGTGCTGTGGAAATGTGTTTGCTCCTCCCCTTTCTTGCTTTTTTGCAACACTGAAAAGAAATTACACCAGAAAAAAAAGCACGTGGTGGTCAATAAAAATGAGTTTTTAACGATTATACCTTTGGTGATTAGATATAAATAGCTAATCTAAGCAATTGATTGAATCGCGCTTGAGGACAATGGTTTCCATCAAAAGTTTGAGATAATTGACAATGAAACTTTTACATCACCACATAGGGATTTTGGTTGACTCCTCCTTGCATAATTGTTTAAAATTAGATACTTCAGCTTAAATTCAACTGGTGGTTCGACATTCTCCTTAAAGACTTTCTAGTAGAGAGCAGAATTTCATTTACAGAAAATCATTCAGGTTCTGAGAAGCAAGGCAACAATAGACCATCACACTATCATCAGTGTTTGATTGTCAGATGTTTCTATTCTTAAATATTGTACTTTTAAATTAGATGTAATGCATATGTTCTAAAAATTTCTATTTTTTTCTAATCAGAGACCAGAATAATTTCCCAAGAGTCTTTGGAATTGTGATGTGTTTTGGCAGATTTAAGACGGGCCTTTGTGACCTTCAGGGACAGCAGTGGTTCTCCCCATGGAACTCGCATGGATGCCATTTTTGCCCAGTCTCATTCCGATGAACGCTGACCGTAACTGAGGAAAGAGAGGCCTGCAGTTTCAAACGCTGTGCTGAGTTTTTTTGGTGACATCCAGACATCCAGGATCAGTTAATACACTCTTGGAGTAATTTACCTTTTTTTTTTTTTTTTCTCATTTTGTTGGGTAATTTCTTTCCCTGTGATTCGGTGGAGTCCCAAAGCCTGAGAAGTTGCCTTGTAACTCTCCAGACTGGCAGATCTCAATGACTTTGAGTCTCTCGTAAGATTGAGGTTTTTGAGACAATGTAGCTTAGTTTTTGTTGTCAGACTGGTTCTGTGTATATAACTTTTTGACTATACAGGAATCCATGTCAAAACATGGACTCCTATGGTTTATAGACATTTCTGCTTTTCAAAGTTAAGAGGTTTGCTGGAGCAAAATTTAACATTTATTACACTGCGTCTACTGAAGCCATATATGAATCCCACTTTGAATGAAATTACTAAAGAAAAGCACATTTCATTCCATTTATTCCTGTTATCACTATTAGGTAAAAATTGTTCGTTCATTCAGGCAAATCGTTATATTTTACCGGACAATGCCGCCCTCTTGTGGTGAAAAACGGAACAGTGTTCCCTCCCTGCTGTCACATTGATTCCCCACCTCTCCTCACATCACCAGGTGCCTGGCTGTTCTCTCACCATCACTAATACTGCTCCCTCACACATAACTCTTCCAGTATAACAAGTTTTCAGTGTGTTTCCAGGAAACATCATTATACCAAGCCTGTGTGATCAAAGGTATTTTTTTCTTCTTCTTCTTTTTATTTTTTTCAGAAACTGACTGTAGATAAACTCTATTTGGCAGAAGCTACTGACATGCGTTGAGACTTACTAACAGACCACTGCCTCCTTTTGATCCTGCAACAGCAGCTGTGAAGTTATACAAGGTATTAAAGTGCATAACAGTATGTAAGTGAAGCATAAATCACAGAAAATATGCAAAGGGTTCTAGATTATGTTTTTTTTATACCACTTACCACTTTTACAACTTAGTCCAAAATTGCCTTGAAAAACGTATGATTGGTTTTACCAGTTAACCAAACTGTGAAACAGATTGGTGGATAAGAAGTTTACTGACTAACTGAAAAGATAAAATGAAAGAAAAATAAAAGGGTTTTGGAGTAACCTAGTCAAAAGGACTTAGAACCAGTTGAGATAATGTGAAGTGGCTTCAACATAACGTTGGTGCTCAAAAACCACCAACGTGGTTGAAATAAAACACTTCTGTAAGGAAGCGGAATGAAAATTCCTCAACGGCAACATGAAAGTCTTAGAGCCATTTATTCAAATTGCTTGATTGCAGTTGGTGCCAAAAAAGGTATATATGTGTCCCTGAAAATCTTTAGCAGTGGTGCCACCTTTGCAGATGACAAAACTGTTATTTGGTCTGATCCAGGACACTGACGAGTCTGCACAGACAGGAGGTGGATGAGCTGGTCTACTGGTGTGGTCAGAACCAGCTGAAGCTTAACCCACACAAGACACAAGTAGAGATGGTGGCAGACTTCCAGAGAACGCCCCCAACACTCCCTCCTCTTAGCCTCCTCAGCAACACTGTGTCTACGGTGAATTACTTCGGGTTCCTACGAACTACCTGACATGGTCCTCACACCTGGAAGAAGGCCCGTCTGAGACTGCGCCTTATGTGGCAACTAACTGGCCACAGGAGTTGCTGGCACTACTGCTTTTTGCAAAGGTAAGATACCACATGGACATTTTCTTAACTCAGAGTATCTTCATAAACAATTAAAGTCCCCAGATGAATATTGTGCATATTTGCACAAATTAAAGCTTTTCTTGTTTTGTAAAAAAAAAAAAATACTGTATATATTTAAATGTACAAGAATACATACTACGGCATATCAAATATCTTCTTTGAGAGAGAAAGCAAAAGGACAATAACATAACTGAAATCAAACTAATTGTGCGCACAAACTTGGAGAATAAAGCTGATACTGAACAAAACAGAGAACTATCGTCGCCTTAATGTGAAGCTTTGAAATTGCCACCAGAGGGCGGTGCACTGCCACAGAAAGAAAGTGTCCTTCAAATTCAAAACATCCCAAAGTTCTGCTGTTAGTTTATTGAATAATGACTTTCTCAAATACGTCAGAAATGGCAGAGAAGCTGAAGTAGATATGGGTGGAACAAGAACAGTTACTACATGTTTCCATGAACTGTCTATTTCTAACTCCTAAGTCAACACAACATATGCGCTATAAATGGTCTGGTGATCTATTTACATCTAGCTGTTCCCATTAAGACCATGACTTACACACATTGTTTCTTCCCACATTAACATAGCAACTGAACCACCACTGGCACAACAAACAAGCTGGGACTTCTTGGTCTTATCAGCATGTCCTTTTACTCTGGACAGTTTCCAATCTAAACTTTTCTGTTCTCTAACCACACTTCATCGTTCTTCCACTGGATCTGGAAGCACAGGCTTGCAAACTTGCAGCTAATATAGTTCTGGGGCAGAACAGAGTAAAAGTATCATGGATAATTAATCTTTCAATACAACATCAAGCGGCCTGTTTGTGCAAGACTCGCTGCCTGCCCCCTCTCCATCACGCCATTCCTGCCTAATCACCTCCACCCTCCATCAATCAGCATGGCAGAGTGCTTTGTTTCTCAAGAAGGACATTTCCTTATGATGGCCTAATTGCCACTAATAAAGCAACAGTGCTCTTTGGATATCCATTCCATTGTTCTCTGTGGCATTGTGGAAAATATGCATTTACTTTTATGGAGCACTCTCAGTTGCTCCATCAAAGTCCCTGCTTATTTTATATTTTATTTTTATGTTAGCAGTAGTAAATTTAGTTTGTATCTTCTTTGTGCTTAGCAACTTCTATGTTGGGGTAAGTTGGAAAATTCATTAACACTGACATGGAAAAAGGTCAAATCCAGCTCAGGCGGAGTAATGGATTGGCTTAACTCAACATCCAAAAACTGAAAATGAGCCAAGAAAGTACACAGTGAAACAGTTACATCAGTGTTAAAACAGATTCCTCCTCAGGTGTTCACTACACTGAGCATCTCGATGGAAAGTTGTTTCTATCTATCTGGATGCCACAATTTTTAAGAAGTATAAGAAGAAACTGTTGAGCAGCAGCACAATTTCACTGTGACATTTTGGAAATGCAACTAAAAAATGTTAGCTGAAAAAGGAAACAAAACGCATTGTATATTTTGTAATTTTGTTGCAAAAAAAAACATTCCTGGATTAACTGGGGTTGCAGAAATTACTCTTTCCAGGAGTTTTCTTGTTTTCTCAACACCGTGATCAAATTGAGTTGCATAGCACATTTAAAAACAACGAAAATAACCTAAATGTTTACACTTCTGCCAAACAAGCAATAAAATATATCATGCAGAATAAAACTATGAGTAAAATACAGTAATGCACAATGAGATATTCATAAACACTTTAGCGTCTCATGCGCCACTAAAGTTGGGCTGGAGAAAACAGATGAGTTGTGTTTATATTTCCTTCTTCTAGTTAACCTTCCAGTCTTAAAAAAATACATTGAGTGTTCAATGGTTAATCTTTATTACATATTAACAGTTTACTGTCACTTTTATATGGCAAAGGTAGTGGTGTAAAAACAGAACAGAAACAATGATGTGAAATGAGTTTCTGCAATTCACTTTAGCTTAGCCTACAGACGGTTAGAAACTTTGAATCAAAAGGAGGTTGGAACATAAGAGACTATGTATAAGCAATACTTTCTATGGAAAATATCTCTCTTGAGCAACCAACAACAACGTCTCCATCGAGTAGCTTCAACCTCCCCTTGAGCCACCCTCGGCTGTATTGAAAGGGGCGGTCTGGAAAGATTAAGCGGCTCCTGCGGTGTTGTGTAGTAGGTTATGTGCGTGTGTGTGTGTGTGTGTGCGTACTGCGTAAGTGTACCAGAGAGGAAGAGAGAGAGAGAGAGAGAGAGAGAGAGAGGAAGAGAGAGAGAGAGCGCGCTTCTAAGTGCTTTCGGTTAGACCGTTAGCTTATTGTGAGTTTGTTTCATCAGTGTGAGCATTTTACACGGACAAATACCATCAACCAGCCGACATGGGGAAGGTAGAAGGAGGAATGAAATGTGTGAAGTACCTTTTGTTCGTCTTCAACTTTATATTCTGGGTGAGTGCCTATCGCTTATTTGCTGTGCTGCGGGATGAAAGAGATGCGAGTTGAGCAAGTGCAACAGTGCAGAATAGTTGCTGCTCCCCTTAAGCATCCGATAGTCAGAGTTTTGGCTTTGCCTAGCTTATGCTTTGTGAAATTG